TATATATATATAATTAAAAATGTCAAAACAACAAAATTACTAAAACTTCAACTAAAATTAAATGCAAACTATAATAGTATCTCAATGATACTATTATCATTGAAAAAAACACATATATGCCCATTTACTGCTTTAATGCAAAATAAACAATGTCTAAATAGATGTTTGGCAACTGGTTAACATTAATTTAATGATAACCAGCTCAAAAGTAAAGTTGTTTCATAGCAAGTTATTAACATTTTAATGAACTATTTCAAAGACAAACTTTAAAAATCATTCACACCAAGAGCAGAATGATGCATTAATAAAGTAAAGCGGCTCGGTTTTTGATTTCACGTCGACTTGAACATGCTCTGAGCTCAAATCAGCGGAGAGTTTGAGGAGCAGATCGAGCGGGCAGCTCCGTCTCCTCTGAAGAGAATCTGTAAAGAAATTCAATCAGGTGGAATTAAACAGGGTGAAGATTAAGGCCAATTTGCATGAACTGCAGGGCTTCAGAGCCAAGTTGAATAAGCAAAAAATACTTAAGCAACTTATTAAACTCTTTCACCTTGAGGAAGCGCTGCGCGTGGGGGTATTAACTTCATCCTCTTTTACAGTCAAATCTGAATCACGTGCCGCAAATCTGCCAGCAGCGTCACACAATTAGCTCAATCAATATATGATTCAACACACTGACATCCTTTATTAGCCGAGGAAACCAAAGTGGTTATTTTGCATTAAAACAATAACGTGTGATGTCATCGGCACTCGTGCTGATGTCACCGATATTCCTCAGCCGGTCATTAATCTAAATGTTATTGCTCGTGAATGTGGAAGCAGGTGGATTATGTTGTTGTAGTGTTAACAATCGGCCCGTGGCGCGCTGATTACGCCACATTATGTGGGCCACGCTGATTCACTCAGGAGAGACAATGAGGAGCGGAGAAGAGGCCACAGACGCTTGGCAGCTGCTTTCTTTCTGACAGGCTGTCTGTCTGTTAATTAGCTTTAGGAAACGTCATTATTGCGCTGTCAACAGCTCAGTCTCCCTTTAGGACACGCGCTCGGCAAACGAAACACGCCTAAAAGACATTCGGGGGCTTTTATTCGTGTACTTCTTTTTGGTGGTGAGTGATTGAAAAGGGAACATCCTTAAGGTCTTTGTCCGAAATTTTCGTCCGATATTATCACGTTAAAAAATAAATACAACCTCACGTAGTGTCAATCGCTGACGTAGTGTCAATTGCTGCGGCGCCTGGGGAGCATTTGGGGGTTCGGTGCCTTGCTCAAGGGCACCTCGGTCGTGGTATTGAAGGTGGAAGAGAGCGCTGTACATTCACTCCCCCTTACCTACAATCCCTGCCGGTACGAGACTCGAACCCGCAACCTTGGGTTATGAGTCCGACTCTCTAACCATTAGGTCACAACTTCCCCTCACACACACACTGAACCCCCAACTGCTCCCTCTTACTCCCAAATATTGACATTTTTTTAACGTTTTATGCGACGTGCAGCAAGTGTATGTTATCTTATGTCCCGCCGGTTCATATGTACGCATTTAACCTCTGAACCACACAGCAGATTCGTTCTGAATGAATCTCTTCCCAAATCGTCCCTCCCTAACATTTTCGTCTCGTTTTTATTCGTTGACGAAAATGTCAATATATTTTCGTCATAGTTTTTGTCATTCAAAAAGAGTTTTAGTTCGTTATCGTCAGTGAAAAAAATGTCGCTGACAAACATTATGACGAAAATTATTCGTCAATGAAATTAACACTGCTTTAGGCCGTCACAAAAAAATTTGGATCGTGTTCGATTTTCTGCGTTTTTCACATCCGTACATTTTGAGAGGTGTTTTGATGCAAGGTCAAAACACAATTATTTGTGCAAGGTTTGGATGACGAATACGAAAACGTATATGAACATTTCGGACTCCGTGTGCAAGGACCTTTAATATTAATATAACACTTTCATCATATACTGAGCATTGAAAATTGTGCTTAAATATCACCAAACAGTGTAGTTTTTGTACAATAAAACTACAGCTACAATTTTAAATAGTTAAATTTTATTTCAGCTTTATTTAAAGTAACTTTTTGTAACTTTTGGAAAAAAATAAAAAATAAATAAACTATAAAAACCTGAACTTAAGTACAATTTAGAAATGTTCTTTGGCTGAAATAATTACTAAAATAAATAAGTACTACTTAATAAGTATTAAGATGACAAACTAAAACTGAAATAAAAATAAATTAAAGCTAAATAGAAATATTACAAACTAATGAAATATAATTGTTTTAAAACTAAATTAAAAGTAAAATAAAAAACCGAAAATATAAAAATAAACATTAACTCAGTATAATAGTAAAATTACTAAAACTACAGATGCAATTTTAAAAATATTTATATTTTATTTTAGCTTCACTTCAAGTAAACTTTTGTAAACTTTTGTTCAAAAAATAAATAAACAAACAAAACAAACACTTGGAATTAAACAAAAATTAGACATGTTCTTTGGAAACTAACTGAAATAATTTTAAGTTAAAGTACTAAAATGACTAAAACTAAAAAAAAATAAGTTAAAGCTAAATAGAAATACAAAAATAATAAAATAGCATTTAATAAAAATAAAATAAATCTAAAAGAAAAAAATAATGAAAATATAAAAATAAAAGATAATTAAAAAGAAAATAGTATATAAATAATATTTAAAAATACCCCTGTAATCAACAGGATGTAGTGATAAAGTGGCCCTAAAAATATTTGGGCACTTTTGGGCATTTAAGTCTAATTTAAATATATCTGAAATTCACTTATTTCACTTTAACTTATTTTGTTACTAAACCGTAGTTCATCACATTAACAATAAGCATGTTTCATGAAGTGTGACAACCAAAAAGCATCCAAAACTTTTTGTCTCCATTTTAAACAATAAAAACCATTTTGAAAATGCATTGAAACCCTACTATTCAAAAGTTTAGAACAATTAAGATTTATTTTTGTTTTTAAGTCTCTTTTGCTTACTAAGGCTACATTTATTTGATCAAAAATATAGTAAAAACAGTAAAATTGTGAAATGGTATTACAATTTAAAGTGTTTTCTATGTGAATATATGTTAAAATGTAATGTACAGCTGTGATCAAAGCTGAATTTTCAGCATCATTACTCCAGTCTTCAGTGTCCCATGATCCTTCAGAAATCATTCTAATATGCTGATTTGCTGCTCAAGAAACCTTTCTGATCATTATCAGTTTTTTTGCTGTTGTGTGATTACCTTTCAGATGGCCCCTGCCGAGCGTCACAAAGCCGGAGGAGATGAAGTTGTGCATGTCTTGACCACTGCGGAAGTTTTCTTTCCCATAATGCCCTGCAAAGACAGACACAGCAAGTGTTATTAATGAAAACATTCCTTTATCCTTTCGCTGGCAGATTAGAGTCAACAGTTTGTTCAGAGGCAATTTTTGATCTCTTTTTATCACTCCAGAAATCAGAATCTTTTTATCAATAAATCAGTGTTTTATCTATCATGTTTTTAGGAATAAAACGCAATATAAATCAGGCAGATGGGAGAAGGGTTTGAATGTTTTGGACTTGGAGTTTTGTGTATTACTTTATTTAATTTCCTGTCAGACGCCCTGTTTCATTGTATAACAGTTGCAATATATTTTACAAGTCAGCAAAAAAACTCAATAGAAAGACGTGAAGTATAAATTAATGATATATGAACAAACACCTCTGTAAAAACCCTCAGAATATACAGTGGGTACGGAAAGTATTCAGACCCCCTTACATTTTTCACTCTTTGTTATATTGCAGCCATTTGCTAAAATCATTTGTTAATTTTTTTTCCTCATTAATGTACACATAGCACCCCATATTGACAGAAAAACACAGAATTGTTGACATTTTTGCAGATTTATTAAAAAAGAAAAACTGAAATATCACATGGTCTTAAGTATTCAGACCCTTTGCTGTGACACTCATATATTTAACTCAGGTGCTGTCCATTTGTTCTGATCATCCTTGAGATGGTTCTACACCTTCATTTGAGTCCAGCTGTGTTTGATTATACTGATTGGACTTGATTAGGAAAGCCACACACCTGTCTATATAAGACCTTACAGCTCACAGTGCATGTCAGAGCAAATGAGAATCATGAGGTCAAAGGAATTGCCTGAAGAGCTCAGAGACAGAATTGTGGCAAGGCACAGATCTGGCCAAGGTTACAAAAAACTTTCTGCTGCACTTAAGGTTCCTAAGAGCACGGTGGCCTCCATAATCCTTAAATGGAAGACGTTTGGGACGGCCAGAACCCTTCCTAGAGCTGGCCGTCTGGCCAAACTGAGCTATCGGGGGAGAAGAGCCTTGGTGAGAGAGGTAAAGAAGAACCCAAAGATCACTGTGGCTGAGCTCCAGAGATGCAGTCGGGAGATGGGAGAAAGTTGTAGAAAGTCAACCATCACTGCAGCCCTCCACCAGTCGGGGCTTTATGGCAGAGTGGCCCGACGGAAGCCTCTCCTCAGTGCAAGACACATGAAAGCCTGCATGGAGTTTGCTAAAAAACACCTGAAGGACTCCAAGATGGTGAGAAATAAGATTCTCTGGTCTGATGAGACCAAGATAGAACTTTTTGGCCTTAATTCTAAGCGGTATGTGTGGAGAAAACCAGGCACCTGTCCAATACAGTCCCAACAGTGAAGCATGGTGGTGGCAGCATCATGCTGTGGGGGTGTTTTTCAGCTGCAGGGACAGGACGACTGGTTGCAATCGAGGGAAAGATGAATGCTGCCAAGTACAGGGATATCCTGGACGAAAACCTTCTCCAGAGTGTTCAGGACCTCAGACTGGGCCGAAGGTTTACCTTCCAACAAGACAATGACCCTAAGCACACAGCTAAAATAACGAAGGAGTGGCTTCACAACGACTCTGTGACTGTTCTTGAATGGCCCAGCCAGAGCCCTGACTTAAACCCAATTGAGCATCTCTGGAGAGACCTAAAAATGGCTGTCCACCAACGTTTACCATCCAACCTGACAGAACTGGAGAGGATCTGCAAGGAGGAATGGCGGAGGATCCCCAAATCCAGGTGTGAAAAACTTGTTGGATCTTTCCCAAAAAGACTCATGGCTGTATTAGCTCAAAAGGGTGCTTCTACTAAATACTGGGCAAAGGGTCTGAATACTTAGGACCGTGTGATATTTCAGTTTTTCTTTTTTAATAAATCTGCAAAAATGTCAACAATTCTGTGTTTTTCTGTCAATATGGGGTGCTGTGTGTACATTAAAGAGGAAAAAAAATTAACTTAAATGATTTTAGCAAACGGCTGCAATATAACAAAGAGTGAAAAATTTAAGGGGGTCTGAATACTTTCTGTACCCACTGTAGATTGGTGTATGTAAGTGCTGCTAAAATGGAGATTTTTGACACACTGCAGGAGAAAAAATCATTTTGAGAAATCATCCTTTATTGTAATTGAAATCAACAGACTGCAATAAAACAAATGCTTGAATATTTTATTTCAATTAGTGCGTTTTCTTCCCACTAGCCTTGAAATCATTTAAAAAAAAAAAATCCTATAAACAAAATACTATTTTTTTTAATGTTTTTAAAATAAGTATCTTCTGCTCACCAAGGCTGCATTTATCTGATCAAAAATACAGTAAAAACAGTCAAATTGTGAAATATCATAACTATTTAAAATACCGGTTTTCTATTTGAATATATTTAAAATTTTAATTTATTACGGTGATGCAAAGCTGAATTTTCAGCAGCCGTTTGAATTGAAGTATACATAAGCAATACACTTAAATGAGTATTTTGAATGTTTCATTTCCATTAGCCTACAACAGGTCAAGTTACAGAAGCAACATTTCCAAATTGACCAGTGTATAAATAACCATTGATTTTGCCTGTAGTGTCTTGCCTTAACTACCCTTTATACCCCACATCCATCACATCAGGGCCTTGATTTCAGGCGGTTACGGAGAAGTCATCTCAGCCAGTGAGCGATAAAAGGCGCTCAGAGACGGAGGTCAAGACAAGGTGCTGCATTAAGTATTAATGGGGCAGAGGTTCTGCTCATGGACTCGAGAGGTTTTAGAGGTTACTACAACACACTCTCAACACACACATACACATACACACACTCATCTCATATTCGAGCCCTGCTGGGTTAGAGGACACCGGGAAACTTCACCGTCTTCCTCTGGCCGTCTAATTGGACAGTAATGGTGTCCCTGACCAGAGCTGCTGACCTCAAGGTCATGAGACGGGAGGGTTCAGAGGTTTATGTGTGTCACTCTCATCTAGTGTTCATTTTGTCAGCTATTTTTAACTTAAGTCTTAGTCCTGTGTCAAATGCACTTTTTTTAGTTTTTTAGCATATTTATTCTAGTTTTAATAAATGAAAACTTAGTCACATTTTCATCATGCTGTATAATGGTTAAAAAAGATAAAAATGAATATATTTCTCAAAATTACAATCACAATGATTGTTGTCATTTGATACATTTATTCTTACATTTCATTAGAAGTATTGCACTTTCACCAATAAACATAAATCAATAGAATGTGGACTCGTACACATAGCTCTGATTGGGGGATTTGAACGTTTGATATCTGGCAACCGCAAACATGAACGCTCGCATAGTAGAGGTGTGTACCAAAGTTATTTTCGTAAACGAAAACTAAAACGAAAACGATTGATGAAAACTTTTGTAAACTGAAATAAAATAAAAATGACAAAATAATTGAAAAACTAAAACGGAACCAACAACAGTTATTGAAAAACTAACTGAAATAAAATAATAATTATCAAAAATAAATAATCGTTTTCGTAATCATTACGTTCTCACCCCTTGGCGGAAAAATATATGAGCTGTGTGGCGCCGGTGTTCTGACGATCGCAGATTTTGCTACCTCCCATTAAAACAGATGGTAGAATAATTCGATAGCGAAAAGTGCTACCTATCAGATTTTGCTTCCAGCATGATATTAATAAGGTGCGAGGCTTTATTAAGATGTACACCTACCCCAACCCTAAACCTACCCTTACAGTAGGACAAATACAGTGTTGGTAGCATAATCTGATAGGTAGCATTATTTGAGTCTTTCTTTGGCCTGCGCTCTGGAAGTGATCTGTTAATTCTGCTAAACTTTAAAACTGAAACTAAACTATATAATCCAAATAAAAAAAAAGTGTTCACAAAATAAACAATGAAACTAAACTGAATTGTATAGCAAATTTGAAAATGATATTAAAATAAAACTAATTTAAAAATTCTAAACTATAATAACCTTGGTGTGTACAGCAGTTGTAACGAATCAGTCCACTGTAGGCGAGTGTAGTGAGAACCCAAGTGCAGTTTTATTCAAAACAAGGTGAAATCCAAAATCCAAACATAATCCAAACAAGATACACAGACTTGACATGAACAGACTTGACGAGGCATGAACAGACTTGACTTGACATGAACAGACTTGACACACCGACAGCGGGTTACAACTTCAATACACTACGAAGACTATGGGAACATGATGGCTACTTATAGCAAACAAGAGGGTCACAAGACAAGAACAAACCAATGGGAAACAAGACACATGACTAAGACAACCAATCAGAACATGACACAATGAACAAGAGAAACAATGGCATGAATACATGAGGGCAAGGGAAGCATGACACAAACAGAGTGAAACAATTACAAAATAAAAGACATGGAAAACATGGTCACATGACATGAACAAACCAATGGGAAACAAGACACATGACTAAGACAACCAATCAGAACATGACACAATGAACAAGAGAAACAATGGCATGAATACATGAGGGCAAGGGAAGCATGACACAAACAGGGACCATGATTAAACTCCAAAATAAAAGACATGAAAACATGAACAAGAAACACAACCCAAAACACCACATTACAGCAGTCTGTAATATTCTGTCTCATTTTTTGACCAATAAATAAATAAATAAATAAATAAGATTTTGGTAAAGTTTTAATTTTTTAAATACATCTTTTATCCTCAATGATATTGCATGTTGATATAGTCGCAGTTATCGCTTAATGACCTTTAGTCAAGGGAAAAAAAGCGCGTCGAAGAACATTTTTTGTCATAGATTTTGTTAATGAAATTAACACTACTCTCATCTTATTTAGATCACTTGTCAATCTTTTATACAGCTGAAGTGAAGTGAACCCTATAAAGCCTACTGTATCATATTTGATACACAGATTTCTAAGGTCTCTAAATTATATGATCAAAGCTTTGGTGAAAAACAATCTACTACATGCCTTCTGTCATCTAATTGATAGTTCATACTTTTTAGCAAGTAAAAGGCCTTTTATTATAATTGTAAAA